TGTTCTGCTTTGTTTGAATCTAAATGAACGGCTGGAGCCTTCTCTCATCATGCCACGGGCCAACCTCTCCCAAGGCTTAGTGTCAAATCAGCTGCAAGATTAGTCTCCTACCCACAGCTTATATTTAATAACTTCACCTGCAGGGTACCTGGAGGCCACACCCAGTCCTTCCTCACTTAACCTGGGCGGTTTCTGCATTGTTTTGGGTTGGGGGGAACTCATGTTTTCTCAGGGTCACTGCCTTATGTTGTATAGACACCATTTGTACATTTCATCCTAAATGTCCTCTCTTTTCTTATTGTCCCCCACCCCCACCCCGCCCTCTTACTCATAGGAGCTTAACTGGGAACCTGAGGGAATCCCTTGGGGATTCCCCTCATCCCAGAAGGCCTTGGACCAAACGTAAGCTACCGTCTCTCTTGGTGGAGCCCAGGCTCTCCTTCTTGGCTCTGTGATGTGGAGTCTTGGCTTCATCAGCTGGACACTCCACCACCTCATACTGTGTGTCCATTACACTCCCAAATATTTCCATTCCCTGTCAGTGTCTGTGGCTCTGGTTGCAAGGAAAGACATTTGTGGATCACCTTACCCCCTCACTTTCCTCCAGGGCCAAGTGGACAGTGGTGGCCTTGACTTGTTTGCTTCCTAGTGTTGCTGTGAGATGGAAGAACTGTGGCATGGCTGTTCAGGGTGGAGCTGGCATTGGCGGGCTCCCCAGGACAGCTGTGGTTAGTTCTGATGCAGTGTCTGCGGTCTGGGAGAATCGGCCAGGTTGATGCGGGAGTGATGGCATGGACTGGTGGACAGCTAAGCCATGTCATTGGGAACGAGCTGTGGACGGTCACGGCCAGAGTGAGCTTGTTCATCCCCGGCTCCCTGTTAGGCCAGTGGACAGACAGCTGTGGAATAAGACGCTCAGTGGCTAAGTAGGAACGTGGCCAGCTGTGCGGTAGCTGAGGGGAGGCTCAAACCCTACTCAGCTCTAGATTGAGGCTGCAGGCCCCCTCACAGGAACCAGGAATCTGACCCTGCGGCCATTTCTTAAAGAGTTTCTGCCCAAAGTTAGAATTCCTTTGGCTTCTAGAAGTGTGGACTGAGTTGGGATACTGTTCTGTTTTTATTGGGCTTCTCATTGACGAAGAAGTCAGTCTGAGCCTCAGTTTCCACATCAGCGAAATGGGAACAGTTACCCTGGTGTGGCACTGTGGGTTAATGTGCCAGACTGCAAAGCCGTTTGAACTGCAAGGTTGGTGGTTCAAGCTCACCAGCTGCTCCTTGGAAACAGCATACAGAGTCTCTATGGGTCGGAATCGACTTAACAATATCAGCACTTAACAATAACAACAACAACCCTAACTCAGCAGATGGTTATACAAGTGCTTTGGCACCTGGGAGGTCAAAGGCTCACAGCTTTTCCAGTTGCTAAGTTCTATCTTACGATGGCAGGATGAAGAGTTTGACAGAATAAAAGCTTCAACCAGATGTTGTTGTTGTTAGATGCACAACAGAACGAAGCGCTGCCCGGTCCTGTGCCAACCTCACCATCGTTGCTGCACTTGAGCCCATTGCTGCCACTGTGCCAGTCCATCTCGTTGGGGGTCTTCCTCTTTTTCACTGACCCTCCACTTTACCAAGCATGATGTCCTTCTCAGGCAATAGTCTCGCCTGATAACTTACCCCAAGTGTGAGAAACTGACCAGATGCTTCTGGCCAGTGGTGCCCATTGGTACTGCTCTGACTCACTGGCCACCTAATTAGTAAGCCCTGGGGCCTCCATGCTTGTCAGAGGAGCACTGGGCTCGGTAGATTTTCAATGGATGCTTTTTCCATAAGTCATCAGCAGACCTTTTCTTCCAAGGCGCCTTGGGTGGACTTGAACTGCCAGCCTTTTGGTTAGCAGCTAAGTGTGTTAACTGTTTGTTGCCATATTTCTTTCTCTTGTTGTGTTGACGGGGAGACCCTTGGGCTTACATCATGGGTCCACCTTGTCCGAGCTTGTGTGGTCAGTTCCACTGGGCATTGTGCCCCTCCAGTGAGTGTGGCTGGACAGCAGGCCGACCCTTGGGGGGAACCTCACTTTCTGCCCTCTCAACTCCTGCCCCCACGCCAATGGACCCACTGACCGGTATGGGTTTTGCAGAGAAGAGCTAGACAGAGCGGGGTTACAGACCCTCCTACCTTCTAAACTCCCTGTGGCCTAGGAGCCTGGCTGTGCTATGTTTCTGAGTGACTTGGGGGTGATGAAGAAGGGATGGAACATGAGTGAAGCTATAATTAAGACCTCCACAGCCAGACTTGCCTGGGACTTTCTGATGTGGTTCCCATCTGGACTACAGCTGGTGTTGATTCGATGTTTGATCTTGATTCTCTTGCCTTGAAGTTGGTGAAGGAGTCTGCTTGGGCAGCTGGGCTGGGCCAGCCCATGACCATTCCCACCAGTCAGTCCCCTCCTAACTCCCAGGCATAGCCCTGCAGGCCCCAGTGTGGTGCTCTAGCCAGTCCTGACCCTTAAAGCCAGTATGTCTTTGGAGGGGGCCTCCCTGAGCGGGCCAGGGTGCATAGCTGCCCTGCTCCCCCTCCCCACTCATGCTTGCATGGATGAAGTCATTCCTGGCATGGTTACTGGCGAAGGCCCAGGGTAAACATACCACATGTATGGAGCTCACTGGTGCCGCAGATGTGAGGGATACTGTGGGCTCAGGCAGCACTGTGCCCCGGCCTTAGGCGGCCCCGAGGGAGAAAGGCCACCCAGCGAGACCTGTGCCACCCAGCCTTCTCCTTGGGGAAGGGCTGGGGGGGTATGGTTAGTTAGTGGCTTTTCCCCCTTGGGTTTTGCATAAATGGTCAGCAGTTCAAAACTACCAGCTGCTCTGAGGGAGAAAGATGAGGCTTTCTGCTCCCGTAAAGATTTACAGCCTCGGAAACCCTGTACAGGGTCACTATGAGTTGGAACTGACTCCACGGTACTTAACAACAACAACATATACTAACGTTGAAGTCCTTAGATGGTGCTAAAGTTAGCACGCTTGGCTCCTAAGCCAAGGTCTGGCAATGTGTTTTCCGGAAAATCTGCTCTGGAAACCCACAGTTCCACTCAGACACACATGGGATCACCCTGGGTCATATCATAGTTCAATCGCCAGTTATTGGTTTTGCAAGAATACCCATACTAATACCTGACAGTGAGAACACTCAACGTGGCAAAGGCCACATCTTTTCAGTGTGTCATAGGCGCTCCCAGGTTAAGCCATGTAGTCTCACAGGAAGCCACAGAGACACGAGCACTGTTAATCCTATCTCACAAGTGAGAAAACTGAGTTTCAGAGTGATTGCCATCTCAGACCAGGATTCCACTCCGTGGGCTGGGGTCTGTGCTCTTGACTCAGGGTGTCAACAGGCTTCTCCACGTCTGTGGTCTGGGGAGACATTTCTTTTCCACACAGCCTCTGAAAGTCGGGTTTGGTTTTTTGGTCCCTTCCTCGCCTTCCTGTTTTCCTTTAGAATTTTCTTACTCAGGACTGTCTTGTTGGTTTGTTTTTATGCGGGGAGGTGGGGCTGGCCATTTGCAGCATGGTACATTGCAGCAGACAAGAGTCTGTAGTCCAGGTGTGAACCCAGGCTCTGCCTTCAGTCTCAGTTTCCTCACCTGTTAAATGGATGTAGCGACTGGGTCTGGCGTCTAGTTCTGAGAAGCTAAAGGAACGGCTGGCTTCCACTCACCCGGATTCCACACTCTTGACTCCCCCTCTTTCTTTATTGAGGAGGTGAAACTAGGGGGCTCTTGGGGTTCACTCACAGGAGGGCTGGGTCTGGCCTGTGTTGTTCAGGGCAGCTGCTCCTAGTGAGGCTGTGACTAATGGCTGAAGGAACTCCGTAGGGAGGGAGTCAAAGTGAGGGCTTGAAGCTGACCCTCGTGGAATGAGGGAGGCCCTGGGTTCTCCTCAGCCCTGCTGGTCACCCTGGAACTGCTGTATTTTGCGCTGTGTGTTTTGAAAACTAGTTGTCTGCTCCTGGCCATGCCAGGGTTAGTCAGCTGCCAGGAAAGGAGTCGCTAGCCCATCTTTGGGGTCTTAGTGTCTCAGGGTCCTGGGATGTCTTCTTTCCACCCCGCATGCCTGTCCCCCAGTCATTGCGCTTCACGCAGCCCACATGGGATGCAGGTGTGTCTGATGAATGGATGCAGTTTCCTGCTTGCCTGCTACCTTCAAGACTGCCTCAGGGCATCTAACCAAAAACAGAAAAGAGAAGTCCACTGCATTCGTCTTGTTTCCCTCAGCCTCCTGCCCACAAGGTTTCATAGCTGGTGACTTTAAGATGTGATGAAAACCCACAGTGGCTTCCAATCACTCGTTTTCCTTGGTGTGCAGGGCATCAGTGTTAATTTACTCCCTACAAAGGGGCTCTTCTCGCACAATGGGTGAGTGCTCAGTGCAAAAAAAGATCAGTGGTTCTAGTCACCAGCTCCTCCATGGGGGAAAGATCTGACAGTCTGCTTCTGTGAAGACTTCCAGTCTTGGAAACCCTGTGGGGCAGGTCTACTCTGTGCTCTAGGGTCACTCTGAGACGGAACCAACTCGGCGGCAATGGGTTTGGTCTTGATTATTAGAGCGTATGATATTGGTTATAAAAAGGAAAACCAATGGCCATGGGGTTGACTCCAGATTCTGGTGACCCCCTTGTGTCGGAGTAGAACCCTTGTCCATAGTGTTTCAGTGGCTCATTTATCAGAAGCAGAACGCCAGGTGTGTCATCTGAGGTACCTTCGGGTGGACTCGAATCTCCAAACTTTTGGTTAGTGGCTGACTGCTTTTGCTGTTTGATGGGCGGGAAAGGAAGTAGGTGTGGTCTTGCCCGTAGGCAGGGCTGGTAGTCCTGATCTTGGTCACCCACAGGCTTGATATTAGGAGTGGCCTGCTGTTGGCTTGGGTGTTCTGTGATCTGTGTGTCCATCCATGTTGTTGAGTTACTGGAGTCAGCCACGGCACCATTGTCGTTCCCAGGGCAAGCTGCCTGTCCTATTGCTGGGTCGATCCTCGGAGCTGCGTCCAGGAGAGTTCGTGGTTGCCATTGGAAGCCCGTTTTCCTTGCAAAACACCGTCACCACTGGGATTGTGAGCACCACCCAGAGAGGCGGCAAGGAGCTCGGGCTGCGGAACTCGGACATGGACTACATCCAGACCGATGCCATCATCAATGTAAGCTCTGCTGCCCACCAAACCCTTGGGGTTGTCAGAAGGGACCCCTGTAAAGCAGCTGAGGCTGGGGGCTAGACCTCACCCATTAGTGGTCGTCATTTACAGCGGGGGGGTGGAGCTTCCCACCCTCTGCCCACAGCCACCTGGGCACACTGGGGGACTTGCAGAGCCACCCACTGAGTTGCATTTGCAGCTTTCTGGCAGACCTTGGAAGGGTGAGCCTGTCTGCTCCTGTCTGCTTTCCTTCCAGCCCCTGATTGACCGGTCACCCCCGGGACGTAGTCAGAACATGAGGCTCAGCCCCATGAGGCCAAGGATTGCTTCATGCGATACCATCAACCTAATCACATTAAAATGAAGTTTTCCCACTTCAGCTGTCTCCCTATAGAATTGAGATTTCTGAATAGCAGTCTGTCCAATAAATAACATATACAGTGTGGCTTGTGCTTGCCTGTGACCCCCAAGTGCTGCTTCATGCAATAATGGGAATGAAGCTGACCCCATGGATTCAAACACCCAGCAGCCGAACAGAGGTTACCCATGTTGGGACCACTTTTAAGTCCTGTGATACAAGAGCAAGTGTGGGCGGGAGAAGGAACGTTGGTGATTTCATGGTAGGAGTTCTGTCTTTCAAGCTGAAGACCTGGGTTCAGCCCCCTACCCGTGTACCTTGTATATAGCCACCACCTGTCTGTCACTGGAGGCTTGCATGTTGTTAGGATGCTGAACAGGTTTCAGTGGCGTTCCAAGACTAAGACAAGGAACAAAGGCCTGGCATTCTCCTTTGGGAAACCAGCCACTGAGAACCCTGTGAATCACAATGTTATGATTCTGCTGTGCATGGGGTTGCCATGAGTTGGGGGTCAACTCAACGGCAGTAGCAACAGCAGAGCAAGTAGGCACGTACTCTGAATCCCAACACCCCTTAAGCAGAAGGAGAAGTTGTGATGGTAGGTGCTGGAGAGTCAGCCTCTGAATTTCATAGCAAATAAAAAAAAAAATCCCATTAGGGCCTATTCAAAACGATCAACAAGTTGCTTCAGTCTTCAGTCCCCTTTTCCTCAACAGAACAGTTAGATTGGGAGGAAGGGATTTCTGGAAAGAGTCGGACCCCATACTCTAGGCATCATGCTCAGAAGCCCTCGAGGCTGGAAGTAGTCCATTTGGACCGTGTCAGGATGTCCATCATAACGCTCTCATTTCTGCTTCATTTCAGTATGGAAACTCGGGAGGCCCGCTGGTCAACCTGGTAAGACCATGCTGTTACTTTGTTTGTTTTCATCTCTGTATGTGTCCTGGCTCTGTCTTTCTGTTTCTTCTCAAACGTGAGCTTGCCTGAGCACACTGTCAAATTCTTTTTGAGTGAGCTTGGAGAATGCTCTGTGTCTTCCTGGATCCCCTGGACTGAAGGTGCCCAGCAGGAATGGAGGCTGGAAAGGCTCTGCCCATGGACGTGCTTGGACCCCAGAGGTTCAGATCAGCCCAGTAGGATTGGGGTACAGCCGGGAGTAGTGGGAGAGTGGGCCTCGATCTAGACGGCTACCAGCCTGCCACAGAAAGGCATGTTCACAATGCATGTCCGGGACAGCTTGAGGCATTGTACTAGTTCCTTCACACTCCTTCTCTTGCCCAGGAACCTCCCTAAGGGCCTGTCTGGGATGAGGGGAGTTTTCTGGCTCATTAAACTTTCATATGAGTCTGTTCTGGAATATTCCAACACAGAATGAGAAGGCTTAGAGTCACGCAGCATTCAGGCTAGAGCCTGGCTCAGCGTTCTCCATGCCATGGTTTAGTTTCAAGATGATACAACTAAGGCATCTTTAGCAGTCCGAGGTCTGTCTCTAGGAATGTCCCTCATATTCAGCACCTCACGCCCTTTGGGCAGTTGTCCATCTCTAAGCTGGAGTTGAACAGTGGAACAATGGTATTCTGACACGTCTGCCCAGAAAGAGGCGAGTGCTGTTTCTTACAGCATGGCCGTCACTGAACTTGTCTGGAATCAACGCTGGTGTTCTCTGTGCTCCCTACCCTCCCCGACGCCCCCCCCCCCCGACCCCCTCGCAGCACCCACAGGAGGTCCAGCTGAGGGACCGTATTTGGAGGCTTCACAGAGATTTTGCACCTGGTAGTGCTCTAGTAGCGTCATGGTTACGAATTGGACTGTGAACCGCAAGGTCAGCAGTTCGAAACTACCAGCTGTTCCGCAGGAGAAAGTTGAGACTTTCTGCTCCCATAAAGATTTACAGCCTCGGAAACCCTGTACAGGGTCGCTATGAGTCGGAACCGATCCCACGGCACATAATAACAACAACAACAGTGCAACAGCTAAGCACTTGGCTGCTAACAAAGGGAATTGGTGGTTCAGACCCACCCAGCAGTCCCACAGGAGAAAGACCTGGCGATCTGCTCCTATAAAGATTGTCATTGTTGTTGTTGAGTACCGTCAGGTGCCCACTCCTCGCAACCCTTTGTACAGTTTCCGAGGCTGTAAATCTTTATGGGAGCAGGAAGTCTCATCTTTCTCCCTTAAAGTTATTAGTGGGTTTGAACTGCCAACCTTGCAGTTATCAGTATTATTCTACTGTACCACACCAGAACTTCTCAGTAAGGATTACAGCCTAGAAAACCCTCGGGGGCAATTCTACTCTGTCACATGGGGTCCCTATGAGGCAAAACTTGCCTCGTTGGCACCTTGCAACAATAACTTTCCCTACGCAAGGAACAAATAGTCCATCTCTAAATACCTGCTGGATTCTGTGCTTGCGGCAAGCTGTGCTGATTTTGTTGTGGTTTTTCCTGCCCTGTGGTCCCCTGCCTTCAGCTTCCCCCCCAGCTTCTGCCCCTGCCCTGACATGGCTCAGACTTCCCTTCTCTTTGGGTGGATACCTTTGAGAGGGCTTTGCAGAGCCCATCAGTTGTGACCCTTCTTGCCTTTCAGGACGGTGAAGTGATCGGAATTAACACTCTGAAGGTCACCGCTGGAATCTCCTTTGCAATCCCATCGGATAAAATCAAAAAGTTCCTCACCGAATCACATGACAGACAGGCCAAAGGTAAAGCAGGGATCATACTGCTGCGTGAGATGCCAGGGACCTGGGCAAGGCAGAAGTGACAGCCTCTAAAGTGAGCCAGGTTAAGCACTGGACTGCTCACTACAATGTTGGCGGTTCAGACCAGCCACTCAGTGGGAGAAAGATGAGACTGTTTCCGTAAAGATTTCCAGCCGTGGAAACCGTGTGGGGCAGTTCAACGCTTCCTGTCAGGTCACTAGGAGCCAGAATTGAGCTCCTGCCATTAGGTTGTGGGAGTCCTGGTGTGGCGTGGAGGAAAAGTACTGGTCTCTGAACCACAAGGTCAGCAGTTCAAAACCTACCAGCCACCAGGGTTGCTCTGAGTGGGAACCGACTCAAGGGCATTGAATTACATTAGGTTGTAGAGAGGGTGGTGGCTCTGTACAATAAATGCTGGCCTGTGAACCCCAAGGTTAGCAGTTTGAGCCCACCAGGTGAGGCTTTCTGTTCCTGCAAAGATTTACAGCCTCAGAAACCCTGCCCAGGGTCTGGTATGGACTCTGTGGGGCTGAACAACAACAAAGCATTGGTTTGTAGGTTTTTGGACCTATTGTCCCAGAAGTTGGTATCCAGTATCTGCCTGGCACAGCCTAGCGGGCTTTTTACATGCCACTCCAAGGAGCTCTGGTAGCGTAGTGGTTACGAATCGGGCTGCGAACCTTAAGGCCAGCAGTTCGAAACTACCAGCTGCTCCGTGGGAGAAAGATGAGGCGTTCTGCTCCCGTAAAGATTTGCAGCCTCGGAAACCCTGTACAGGGTCGCTATGGGTCGGAACCGACTCGACGGCACTTAGCAACAACAACAACAACCACTTAATTATTCATGTTTGTCCTATCAGGGGAGTTATCCAGCCCCATTTTACCCACAAGGAAGCATCCAGTGAGGTCATTCACTCCACATGTGTCTGGTGGGCATCTCTCTGGGTCAGCAGAAGGTGGGACAGCATGTCCTTGCACATGTGACATTTATGTTCTATCCCGAGATACAGACTACAGACAGATGAGTCAATGAGATCATTTCAGACAGAAAAAGAATGGTGGGTGAGGGAATGCCGGAGGGCTGGCTAGTGGGGACAGTGTGGCCACTGGAGACCCCACCCCCTAAGCTGAAACCTGGAGGGGACAGAGCCAACAGACCGGGATGGGAGGAAGGCCCAATCAGAGCCTCCACATGGTGTCCGCTTAGAGGCACCAAGAGCAGGGTGGGGGTGGGAAGGCTGGCCAGGGCCAAAGCAGACTGAGGTGCGGGCTGCATTTCAGCTGCAATGAGATCTGGTGAATGTCTTTGAAAGGCCCTTCTGGAGGCCGGGTGGAAAGTGTAGCAGAGAGTGTATGTAGGTGGGTACCAGTGAAGAGACTCTCCCAGTCACCCAGATAATAGACAAGAATGGCTCAGAGCTGGGTGGTACCCCGGGGATGCTGGCAGGAGGAGCCAGCATGGAGACGGGTTGGATGCCAGCGTGAGGTATGTAGGATTCAAGGACCGCTCCTAGCATTTGGGCCATTAGCTGAAATGACGGGACAGTGCCAAGGTTCCATGGTGGGTCAAGGTCAAGACTGAGATATGAACCTCGACCTGTGTCTTTGTCTATGGTTCTGCTTACACAAGAGGGGTGGTCACATGATCCTCAGGTGTTTGTCACCCTGCCAATTCTGCTGTCTGCTGTCCCTCTGTTGTCCCACCAGGTAAAACTGTCACCAAGAAGAAGTACATTGGCATCCGCATGATGTCGCTCACATCCAGGTAGGTCACCTGGACAGGTGGGTTCATGCCTGTCTCCATTTTTACATTGAAATGAACCCGAACTTCACCCTTGAATGAGAAATCTTAGCATCCACTATCTGTAAACATATTCTACTATATACAGTATATTCTGGGGTGCACGGTGGCTCCCCACAGTAAGCACTGGACTGCGAATCATAAGGTCTGTGGTTCAAACCCTCCAGCCACTCCATGGGAGAAAGATGAGGCTTTCTGCTGCTGTGAAAATTTGAAACCTCAGAAACCCTGTATAGGGCCCTGTGAATGGGAACTGACTCGATGGCATTTGGCACCAACAACAGTGCAGTCACAATGTTGCACAACCATGTGTAGCTCCAAAACATTTTCATCACCCCAAAAGAAAACTCAGTAGTCATTAGCAGCCCCTCCCCATCCCCCTCTGCCCCTGGCAACTGCTTATCTACTTGTTATCTCTGTAGATTTGCCTATTCTGGATGTCTTGTTTAAATGGAAGCATCCACTGCCTGTCCTTCTGTGTCTAGTTTCTTGTACTTAGAATAATGTTTACCAGACGCATCCATATTGTAGCGTGGAATGCGATGCAATCCCTCTTTATATGGCTGAACAATATTTCATTGTGTGGCTGTGCCATATTTTGTTTTTCCAGTTGTCCTTTGAACGTTCAGGTTGTTTCTATCTTTTGGCTGTTGTGAACAGGGCTGCTATCAACACTGATGTGCATATATGTGTTGGAGTCCCAGCTTTCAGCTCACTGGGGCATATTTCTAGGAGTGAAATTGCTGGGTCTTAGGGTAATTCTGGAGTTCTGGTATGGCATTGCAGGATAAGCACTTGACCACAAGGTCGGTTTGAACCACAAGGTCAGCTGTTCAAACTCACCAGTCGCTCCTCAGAAACCCTATACAGGGTCAGTATGAGTCAGAACCAACTTGATAGCACTTAACAACAGAATAATTCTACATTTCACTTTAATGAGGGACTGACTGCTTGGCTTGTGACTGGTTTTAAGTTGGATTTCCATTTTTACAGCAGACCCCTCTCAGAAGATAGGTCTAACAGTGGGGTGCTCCTCTAACTCCTACCTTCCTTTCAGTACTTGTTCTGTGGGAACCCACAGTCTGGGAGAGAGCCCTGCCGGCCCAGAACTCTGTGGTGAACAGGCTGAGGCTCCAGGAATGCCCTGTCAGGTCCATCTGAGGCAGGATTTGTTTTCTCAAGGTGGTGCAAGTTGCAGCATGTGGTTGGCAAGATCATAAAATATTAGTATTTTATCTTTGATGAAGAATTCTAGTCTAACCTCATGAGTCTTGGTAACTAAGGGTCTGGTGGAGACTTGTAGGTAAGCAAATAAACAGAAGAACGTATATCAAGCATGTACATGAATATATTTTAGATATCATCTGTGACTGGGAGGACATTCTGAGCTGGAATGATTTGCCAAGACTGAAATGTCTCTTGGTGCTTTATTTGGGAATAAAAGAGACAGAGGTGTAGGAAGAATGCTGGCCCTGGGGTGTAGCTTCCCGGATTCTTGTCCTGGCTCTGCTGTTTCCTGACTTGTGATCTTGGGGAAGTCTTGAATCCTGAGTGCTTCAGTTTTGTCCCTGCTAGCATGAGGATAAAGGAGCCCTGGTGGCATCATGGGTTAGGTGCTGGACTGCTAATCTCAAGGTTGATTGTTCAAACCCACCAGCTGCTCCACAGGAGAAAGATGAAGCTGTCTGCTCCCATGAATATTTAGAGTCTCAGAAGCCCTATGCAGGGTAGCTGTGAGTCAGAATTGGCTAGCTGGCAGTGGGTTTGGTTTGGTGTTTGGTTGTTGTTGTTAAGTGTCGACCCATAGGGACCGTGTCTAGGATTACCAAGGAGCAGCTGGTAAGCTTAAACTGCCAACCTTAAAGTTCAAACGGCTTAAGTTGAGGATAGTGAGGCAGATCTTTTTGTGGGAGGAAGATCAATGAGTTCATGTGAATCAAGGCTTAGGTCCATGAGGTGTGGCAGTGGTCACTGGCCACAGTGACAATGGTCACTAGCTGTCACGTGGTTACTCTGCACCAAGCCCATAGTCAGGCATTGTGCCTCTATGATTACATTAATCCCAGCACAGCCCTATGTTGTAGGATCTTATTATTCTTCCCATTTTTCAGGTGAGCAAACTGAGGCCCAGAGGTGAAGCAACTGCTTAAGATTACTCAGCTAGAAATTGGCAGTTAGGACTCTGAGCCAGGCCAGTGCTTTACCGTATCGACCCCTTAATGTGGTTGTTGTTGTTAAGTGCTGTTGAGTCAGTTCCAACTCATAGTGACCCTGTATAGGGTTTCTGTAGAGCACTTGGTGAGCCTGAACGCTGACCTTGTGGTTCAAGCGGACTTTGCAGTCCCAGGCATTAACCCACAGCACCACACCAGAACTCCCATTAATATGGTTGTTGTTGTTAAGTGTCGTCGAGTCATTCTGACCCATAGCGACCCTGTATAGGGTTTCCGAGGAGCAGCTGGTGAGCTTGAACCGCTGACCTTGCAGTTCAAATGGCTTTGCAGTCTGGAGCTAATATGGTAACTACTGTTAATTAACTGGTATGAATTGCAAAGCATCTGTCTTGCTGCTACCCCATTAATCTTTGAGTCTCGTAGTCAGGCAATTTTTAAAGCAGACTGAGAAACTTCTGGAGACATGAGTGAGGAATGAGCTGGGAAGCTGGATGAGGGTTTCCAGAGGACAATCGAAGAAGGCCTGTAGTTGTTTCACTTGAATCAACACCGGCACCATTTCTCCCAAGCAGTAAAGCCAAAGAACTGAAGGATCGTCATCGAGACTTCCCCGACGTGCTTTCCGGAGCGTACATCATTGAAGTCATTCCCGATACCCCGGCAGAAGCGTGAGTTAGCGCTGCCTTCCCTTTTCCTGATGTGGCTTCCCGGGGCAGTGGGGGTGACTGTTCTGCTTTGGGATAAAAGGGGTGGAACAGCCCAGGTCAAGTCTCCTGGCCAGGCCCCATCTACAAAGGATGCTTCCTGTCTTCAAAAGTCCTCTCTTCACTGGGGCTGTCCAGATGTGGAGAGTCCTCGCAGAATCACTGTGGGTCTCTGGGGCAGGCTGGCTCTGGGTTTCTGAGGGTTTGAGAAGTAGGGTCCTGCAGCCTTGGGGAAACTGGTCCTATCCCAGGGCTTGAATCCAGCCTTGGGATGCACTGTTTCCCGAAGCCTTCTTTAATTCTGTGGTTATCAGCCCACGCCTGCTAATAGCTAGAAAAATAAGCTATGTAAAATCAACACAAAATTAACCAAAAGAGGTAGTTCAGCTAGCAACCCTGCTTGTAACCTGTGCCGATGAAAGCGCAGAGAACGTGCTAGACCGGAGTCTCTGGGCAGCACAATAAACACACTTGACTGTTTACCAAAAGGTTGGAGGGTTGAGTATGACCCATAGGCAACTTGGAAGAAAGGACTGGTGATCTACTTTTTAATAAACCAGCCTTGAAAACCCTGTGGAGCACAGTTCTCCTCCGACACACATGGGGTAGCTAGTTAACTGCTCAGGGATAGACTGGCAGTTCTTACTCCCTGGGGTCTGAATGAGGCCCACCATCTGCTTTTGTCCAGCATTCCAGCTAAGAATGATTTTCACATTTTAAAAAAGTTGAAAAAAAAAAAATCAGAAGAAAATGAATATTTTAGAAATGATGCAAAATTCCAATTCCAGTGTCTGTAAATAAAGTTTTATTGGCACACAGCCACAGCCGTTTGTATGCTGTTTCTGGCTGCTTGGATGGGACTGCAGCAAAGCTGAGCCCTCGCAGCAGAGACAGACTGGTCTGTAAAGTCTCAGATATTTAGTCTCTGGCCCTTTACGGGAAAAATTTGCTGACCTCTGCCCCCGAGCATTGAGGATCATGGTACCATGGTAGATGCTGTTGTACGCAGGCGCTAAAGTTCCAACGCCACAAGAGAGACAGGAAGTGACTCACGAGAGAGGCATTCTGCTCATTCCCATAGGAACTGCTCTTGAACACTTACTATTTACAAGCAAGCTGGCCATACCCCTACCAGCTTGGGGACTCCTTGCTCTTTGGGGTGAATATGTCATTACCTACATGAGTGCTGGGGGACATTTCTGCAGGGGACACAGTTGGTCATTTTTACCTAAAATACCACAAAAGAGAATGCAAACCTCTTAGAGATAGTTGAATCCATTCTCAGGTACTTTCCACCACCATCCAACCCTGTCTGCTCTGGACTCTTAGCTTCTAAATGACCTCTGTTGAGAAAAGTCAATCCCTTTTGCTGGTAAGTAGGTGGGAGGAATTGAACCATGGCCATCCTGTTTCCCCTTGCATTGCAGTGGCGGTCTCCAGGAAAGTGACGTCATAATCAGCATCAATGGACAGTCAGTGGTCTCTGCCAATGATGTCAGTGACGTCATTAAAAAGGAAAGCACTCTGAACATGGTGGTCCGCAGAGGCAATGAAGACATTATGATTACAGTGATTCCCGAAGAAATCGACCCATAGGCAGAGGCATGAGCTGGACTTCATGTTTCCCTCAAAGCTTCTCCAGTGGATGGCACATGAAGACTCCGGGCTGGTGCCACAGGACGCCCAAGACGGTTGCCCGCCATTTTGCTTGTTCATTGGAGATGCTCTGGCCAACCGAATCCTTTCTGATAGTTTGCAGCCAACACAAATGTAATGCTGCAGTTCCGCCTGCAGAGGCGCTCTCCTTCTCTAGCCTATGTATGCAGTGTGCTTTCCTTGCCAGTTTGGTCTGTCCCTGCTTAGACAGTCAACCTTTGTCTCCTTTAACCAAGACACGTCTTAGTCCAGCTAACGCAATTGATGGGAGACATGGACAAGAGGAGGGGCCCAGGGGAAGCCAGAACCGCACTGGAAGTGTGTCCACTTTCTCCAGAGTCAGCACCGAGAGGAGCTTGGTGCCGGGAGACCCTGGGCTGGTGAATGCTGGCTTCCAACAAGGCCACAGTTGCCTCTTTAAGGAGTCCATTCAGATTGGGGAACAAAATGACCTTTTAGTTTGAGCTATTAAAATACTTCTTCAGATGTCGTTTCGGGCATGCTTCCTTTCCTTTTCAGTAAACACCTGCTTGCGGTTTTGTTTTGTTTTTTAAATCATACTTTGTTGTGTTTTCAGTAGAAGTTTACACAGCAAATTGGGTTTCCATTGAATAGATTACATAGATGCTGCAGCCACATTGGTTCCATTTTCCACATGGTGCCAGCATTCTCATTACACCCAACTCTCTCTTAGCAACTGGGTGAATTCAGAAGACCAGGTCATTATGTGAAAATCGGCATTATGCAAAAACAGAAAATAATCCTAGATATTATCAAACATCTTACAGCAATGAGTTAGTGGTTCTGGGGCTCAGGACCCTAGGCTCAGGGGACACCATGGCCAATTGGCATAACACAGTCCACAAAGACAATCTCTGCATCCTGCTTGGATGAGTAGCATCTGGGATCTTGAAAGCTCATGAGTGGCCATCTAAGGTGCAGCTGTTGGTCTCTCCATGTGCGGAAGGAAGAAGAGTGATAAAAATAGAAGGGGCTTGGAATCAATTAGTCTAATGGACTAATGGGGCATGTGACCATCAGTCTCCGTGACTCTGAGACCAGAAGAACCAGACAATGTCCAACTTCCATTACCAACTGCCCTGAAAGGGATCACATTAGAGGATCCCAGATAGAGTGGGAGAAAATGAGGGGCAAAACTTAAAAATTATTTAATAATAAAAAGTTCCTGGTTTACTGGTGAGAAAGAGACTGGAGGAATCTGAGACTTGGGACCTCAAACACCCTTTAAGTCTGAAAAGGAACTCACCCTCCCAGCCCTGTTTTCAGCCAAGTAGCAGATTTTTAGTGGGAGACAACACTCGTAAGGTATGTTCACCAGGGAATGGTGGATCATTCAAAATCAAAAGGGCAACATTTTCCTAAGGACAAAGTTGAGAAGGGATGGGCAGGTGGGTGGGATGGGAAAAGGAACCACAGGGAGGAAGCGGGACATCTGTTGGTGCAGGGAGAAGATTGTGATCATTGAGATGAAGCAGAGCATATGATTTGTTGAATGTAAAGCTGATGTTCTTGTCTGTTGGCCTTCACTCCTCTCACAATAAAAAGTTAAATAAATAAATAAATAGAGACCTGCCATTAAGCAAACAGTCCTGCTGTGGCATGTTGGGTTAATGCGCTGGACTGCATAGTTGGTTTGAGTTGTAAGGTCAGTGGTTCAAATTCACCAGCCACTTCTCACAAACAATAAAGGGTCACTATGGGTCGGAACTGATTCCACGGCACTTAAAAACAACATTAAATAAACGTACCAAAAATAAAAGTATGGCTGCATTAGTTCACAAAATGGAGAGTGGCCACATCATTATGTAACTGCCAAATTACATCATATAACTGCTGAATAACATCACCACATAACTGCCAAATTACGTCCTATAACTGCTGAATCACATCACTACATAACTGCCAAATTACATCATGTAACTGCTGAATCACATCACCATATAACTGCCAAATTACATCGTATAATTGCCTAATCACATCACTACATAACTGCCAAATCACATCCTATAACTGCTGAATCACATCACCATATA